AAGGAACTGGAAATTTCTAAGCAGACTCGTTCTGAGGAAGGAAAAGGTGAGGTCCTGGTGCCAGCCAAAAGGGGAGCTTGTCTCCCAGCAAGACATCTCACTATGTGCTGATCATTTGCAGATAAGACCAAGGACCAGAAGACAGTAATGTGTTCATGATGGGCCAGTGACAGGACCATGCCTCAACCAGGGAGGCTGAGTTATACTTTGTTCACTTTCCTAACTCAAACCTTACGTATCTGGAGCAGGGATAAGAGGGTATCACTGGGTCTATTCATTTGTTCCTCTTCCCAATGCAGCCATATGAGATAAAAAATCCTCTTCCTGATTTTCACCATTACTTGTATATTTAATTGGCCCTATTGGGAACAGGTAGCTGAGCTGTCTTGTCAGACTGCCGGTGATCACACTTTGATTCTAACAACTAAACTTGACTCATTCCATCTGTTTACCTGAGATATATCAACCAAAGACCTTGACTAAATGGAGCATAAATTAGACAAAGAAGGGCTAGATATATAGCTCAACAGTAGAGTGGCTGCCTAGCTTAAAGAAGCAAGCTGTGAAGAGATATGAGAAAAACAAAGTTGGTATTGGTGGGGATGTAGAAAAACATAGACTTTAAAAAGTTGAGGAAAAATTGATGGCGTGAAAGAATGAGAGTTTCAGACCAGCATTTTTGTAACAGTTTCTCCAAGTATTCTTTCCTTAATGGTGGAGAATTTTTAACTGAAAACACTGGGGCCCAGCCAGAGGATTCTCGTCTACTCCAGAAGTTCCATTACAGTTAAGTGTGCATGTTACCAAATTCTGGCCAGTGGTATGGAGTAGAAGTGGTATTTAAGCTTTCTGAATAGTGCCGGTGAAAGCAGTGCTTTCTTTTGCCCTCAGATTTTTGTGGAATTAAAAAGGTATGCATGGAGTTCCCATTTTGGACCTGCAAACATAAAAAACATGCTGAAGACTGAAGACTACTGAGCAACAAGATCAAGCCTCATGCCAACTCACAAATACCCACCCAGACTTGTTAATCCGATTTGCAATTTTATCTTGTTTAAGCCTCTGTATTTGGGGTTCATTTTGTCAGATTGTCCTGGCCAAGGATAACTCAAACAAAGTGTTTTACTGTCCTAAGCACATAGCCCTAACATTTCTCAGTTGTTCTAGCACTTAGCAATTCCAGGTCCATGAAGACAGGCCAGGATTCAATAGGGAGAGGCTGAATTACAACCTGTTTTTGTTCATTTCATTTTGAAATATTCAAACAGCCTTTGAGCTTCCATCCCCTGTACCAGTGTGACAGAGACTTGGGGCTGCTGAAAACTGCATATGGAACTCATGTTTCAGTAGTAACCCACTGTTTCTCTTTCAATCAGTAAGCCCAGTTCTGACACTGTTGTCTCAGGAAAACATTTTACTCACATCACCAATAAACCTCCACTTCTCCATACAACCCAGTCACCATCTCCTGAACGGTGGATGAAGCAAGTCTATGAGGAGCCACCCCGTTATCCAAGGAGAGGAAAAGTCAAGTTCTAAGCTGCCACTAGACAAAAACAGGCATGTCAAACACAAATCATATCTGTGCAGGAGTCTATCAAACTGCCATTGAATGCTGAAGTGACTCCACTGAGATCTGTGTGTCCCCAGAATCTCAGGCCCTGATGCAGTGTTGGTCCCCTTCATACCTTCGTGGACTGAAATATGCCAACTCTGCAAGGAAGGATGTTTTCAGCTCTGTCTTGGAATAGACCAAGACCCCCTGCATGGAATATGAGCAGCTCCCTGGAAGATCGCTTTTTTGTTGTTGAACAACAACAAAAAAAATCAACAATCAGGATTTAAGCACCCATTTTATTCATGACTTCCCTAAACATGAAGCACATGAGATTTAAAAAAAAATGCAGAAAAAACAGGTGACTGGTCCAAAAGCATATTTTGCAAAGAAAAAAAAAAATCACTGCTGATGTTAGGTCAAAAAGAGAGGTCAGTGCACTCTGGGAAATAACACAAACTCTGTGGGAAGATTGAGGGTCAAATAGTAGGTATGTTGTTTCCACAAAAGGCCATAGTTGATGAGAATGTGGTCAACGAGAGTACTGGGTTGCTAAGTTACCACATTAATGTTAATACAGTTGAGGGGAAAGGACCTTGACTCAAGACTAAAGAGCAAACAGTTATTGAATGTTAAATCAGGACGAGAGAATTTCATCTGATAGGTCAGTTTCTGCCCTCAGGATGACCAGAATCTATTGTGGGAAAGAAACTAGTCAACCGCTGCAGCAGTATGCTCAATGCCAAAAGGAAACAGGGATAAGGCAAATGCCAAGAGGCTCAGAGTTAGGTTAAGGAGTGGATCAGGATGGCCTTTTCATCAGCCGTAGAGAAGCCAATGGGAGGACCCATCACAGATAACATGGCCAGGACCCAAGGGAGCTAGATACAGAAGGCGATAGTTACAAAGCAGCGGTAGTGCCTGCCCCACTCAATAAGAAGTGCGTATTTTCTCAAACAACGCCACTTCTCTCCCGTCCTCCAGCTTCAGCGTAATGCCTTTCTTGGCCTGCCCAAAATGGAACGCATGGTACAATGGATGCATAGCAGGAACTGAAAGTTGGTTCCCAGAGGAGCGTCTCTGCAATAAACTTTCTAGGCACAGGTGCACAGAACTTCATTATTTCATCTTTGCTCTTAAAGAGCTTGCATTCTAGAAAACAGAAAGGCTACCCACAGACCTGCCCACTAACCACAGCACCAAAGCCCTTTTCAAAGCCGCCCCCTCCTTTTTTTCTTCTCTGGTAACCTTGCTGTTCTGTTTAGCCTTATCACAGTTGTCCCATCTGGCTGAGAGATCCCGAAGCCTTCTCTGGAAACACCAAATGTTGGAGGTCACCAAAGGGAAGAGAAGAGCATGTGAGCAGCTCCCTGGAAGATTGCTTTTTTGTTGTTGTTGCAGAAGAGAAATGCACCAGCTCTCTGCAGCATGCTAGATAACCACCTCACCTCTTACCAGTGTCAGCCATCTTTAGAGATATTTGACGTTATGAAAATGTCAGGTTGTCTACATTTATAAATAACCTTACAGTTTTATTAGCTGGGAAGTCAAATCACTGAGACAGTTTACATAAGGGACAGGATGGTTTTAGGGGATCAAAACCCAGGACTGAAAATGTTACTTTTTCTAACTACTCACAAAGCAATAACTGCTGGTTGGTAATATACTCACACATCTAAGGCAATTATAATAATCGAAGCCTTTGGCAGTAAAGTATTATTTTGCTTACCAGAATCCATCTCTCTTCCCTCTAATGACATACAGATTTATTGTGGATCTGTGTATGGGTATGTGTGTTTATTGTGTATCTCTTCTCTTCTAAGACAATTGGTGAGGGTGAACCTACTTTTAACTTTATCTTCAATTCTGAGTGGAGGCTCTGAGGCTCCAACTGGCTCACATGCTCTTCTCTTCCCTTTGGTGACCTCCAACATTTGGTGTTTCCAGAGAAGGCTTCGGGATTACCCATGATTGGCTTGGAAATGGGAAGAGAACCCAAGCAGAGTCTGAAATGGCCTGCTCAGACTTCACATAAAGCTGCTGCTGAAGTTGACATTGCAAAGCCAGGGTAGAGACCAGAGCAAGACCGCACTATTCCAAATCAACTCTGCTTCTTCATCAGGCTTCACCTGCAGTCCTTCCTCTAGACTTTGTTTTGATGAAAGAGCTTTTTGTTTCCTTTAAGCTGGTTGCACCCTGGTAGCACTACCGGAGCAATTCAGACTAATGTAAATACCTTCAATGCTTTGGAAAGCCTACAGAGTATACAGAGCAGAGAGTCAGTGTGACATGTGAAGACTGAGCAAAAAAGACATTTTCTTTTGTTTCTATTAATGCTTCAGGAAACAATACTACATTGCATGGCATGACTGGACCCACCCTCCCTTTTCCTAGTTACTTATTTATCATTCATTCATTCATTCATTCATTCATTCATTCATTCATTCATTCATTTTGCATCCTGGTCACAGTCCCCCTTAAAGTTACATTTTTCAAGAGGTTGCCTCATTTGAATTTCACCATCCTGAATTAGAGAGACTGTTAACATTTTTGAGAACCTCACTCATGAGGATTATTAACATTCTATTTGCAGTAATTGCAAGCACTTCTTGTAGTTTAAAATGTTACTTCAAATCTAGTGGTTTTGGAAATTTTCACAAGAACCAAATGAGGTAGGAATGGTGGACCATTTATTTTAGGCTGAAGGAAGTCCAGCCTCCCAGTTAAATGTGAGGAGGAGGGGGTTGGGGACTGGCTTCAGGTTTCGGGTTTCCCACAATCCTCTGAACCAAACACACAAACTCTACTCGCAGAAGAGGGTGTATTTCTCCATGAATATGCGGGTGTTTGCAGTGGGCTGAACAGGACCAAAATATTAGAGACCTGAATTTGGTCTGTTACAGGACGGGTGTGAATTCAGATCTCCGATGCTCCTTTTAGCTCCTCCGGTGCTAAAAGTGCTATAATTCTATAATTCTAGACCTTTTTCTGTCTTCCAGATTCACGTTTCCCCAGATAATCACCATAACCTTGGCTAACATTTATTATCTCACACCCGAGTCCGCGCTAAGAACTCTGCCTCCGTTTTCCTTTTAAACCTTGCAACATTCCTAAGAAATCTCTAACAGATACTTTAATTCACGGAGGTCAAATGGACTGTCCTCAAGATCTGCTGGTAACCTGACTCTAGGTCAGAGTCATCATCTCACTGGGTCTGTACTGGTTTTGCTGAAGAAATTAGGTCCGCATAACCGCTCACCCCTCTTCATGTCACGAGGGGAACGAAAAGGCCAAAACAAACAGAGCAATCTTCAGGAGGCAAAGCCAGAAGGGCCCTGGAAGGACGCCATAGGCTTCTTCCCAAGCCCAGGGGGCGGGGCGTCCCTCCTTGCTAACCACAGGACCTGACTGACGACGTCCTTCCCTTCCCGACCCGAACCATTACCTTGTTGAGATGGGGGTTCCTGGTGACATCGTATCCGCGCTTCTTCAAGGGTACTGGGCGAGGAGGGCCAGGCTTGGAGTGACAGCCCTGGGCGGGCACGCAGGGTGCCTGGCGCCGAAGGGCGCCGCAGGCTATGCGTGGCAAGGAAGCCAGCCGTGCGCCGGTGCCCAGCGCGGCGCCCATGATCCTGGCAGGAACCTGGAACCAGGGCGAGACCAAGGTCAGGGGTGCGCTCTAGCCAAGCCAGGTCCTGCGCGCCAGCAGGGCGCCGGACCTGAGTCGGGACACGAATGTTCTCGGAGTGGCTGGGGGGTTCAAGGCGCTAGCCTCCGCCCCTCCGAGGCCACCTGCTTGGTTGCGATGCTCCGATGCGAGCCTCACCCCGCATCCAGCAAAGCGAAAGCAAGCCCCGAAAGCAGATCTCGTGCAGATGACAGCCCGTGCCTTCCCGCCCCCATGCAGAAGAGTGGGCGACTGTGCTCTGAGGGGTCCCCGCACCCTCAAACCATGTGGTTGGCCTCGGCTTCTCCTTCTTCCTCTCACCTGCCTAGCTGGAGAGGCTGAAGTCTATGCGGTTCCACTGCGGGCAGGTGGGGCAGGAGGCTACTGTCCCCCGTCACTCACTGGCCAAAGGCTGCACTGCACAGGCAGGGCGAGCTCGCGGGACTAATGCGCTCAGGAAAAGCGGTCCCCAAACCTTTCCTCGCGGGACCAGGCTTCCCTTGAGGATATGCATGGGGGCTCTCAATAACAACACAGGAAGAGGCTCAGTTTCCTCCCACCTCAGGGCTTCCCTGCTTTTGCACCCTTGGCGCTCTACGTGGAGAGAGGTCTGAATAGCACTGAGGGGAGCGTGCTTAACGGACCAGCATGCCCTCTTTGGCTTCCTCTTTTTGAGCGAGGCCCTGATCAAAGATGCTGTCTGGTACAGTGACCATGAGCCACATGCGGCTGTCATAGTTCAATAAACTATTGTAAATGAAATACAGTTTAGAACCATTTCCTCAGTCACAGTAAGCACTTTTTTTTTTTTTTTTTTATGGGCAGTTGAGAGCATGTGTGAATGTACATAGGTGCAAAGCACTCCCAGCTTTGCAGAAAGTTCCCTTTTACTGATGTGAGTTCCCCAGACGTTGACTTCTAGGAGCCCCATGCAGCTGGTCATAGACATTAGGGTCCACACAGGATTCAAGAAATTCCTTCTAAGGGGGTTTTATCTCATTGTCTGCGGATAGCAGGCGAGTCCTCGGGAGGCCTTTGGGTTGACCACAGCCTGGCTCCTGCCAGCTTCTCATGTGTACCCTGCTTCCCTCTGCGTTGTCCTTGAGGTCTCCACTCACTCAGGTTCCCACCTCCACCTCAGGGCTTTCACTCCAATCTTCCAAACAACTGCCACATCTCATCTTTAAGGTGGCCCCCAGGACGTCAGCTCGGAGGCCGTTACTCTAGTTATTCCATTCAGTGCCGACCATCTCCTGGGATACATAAGAAAAGGGTTTTCCTTAGATATAAACTAACGAGTCTGTTACTAGTCCGTTGCTCTTGTGATTTATTGTCCCCCCCCCCCTTAAAATACAGTCTTCACTGGGCTAGGGTCTTGGCTTATATATCTGTTTGTCCTCAGGGCCTGGCATGTCTGTACAAAAAAAAAACAGTTGTTTGGTGGATGAAGGCTAAAGCCCACCTGCTCATCAGAGCTATGGGTTCTCAGAATGGCTGCCAGGCAGGTAATGTGTTTCTCTCAGACTCATCTTCAAAACTCATCCCATTCTCATGTCCCAACCGCAAAGCGGGCAGGATGGTGTCAGTAGGGTCCTCCAGCCTGGGTTCGGGATCCCATCTCCTAAGGAATGATTGCCTTCCCCTGAATTTTCTCTCCTCTCTGCTCCAGTTTCTAGTTCTCAATCGGAATGATCTATATTAAACTGTGCTACTTAGAGCAGCATTGGAATTCCCCGTTGAGATGATAGACGCAGGGTCAATAATACAGAATTATCAACCCGCAGACTCTCATCCAGTAGAGGGTAAGTGCCTAGGTTATTCTGGAACTGGATATTTAAATATGCCTATAAATAGTATTTTAATTCATTTTAGTCAGTTTTTATTGTCTGTAGGCAAGAGCATTAACTTCTGTCAATACTATTCTTATATTTGTATATATTCCCATCAATTGCCAAATATCTCGAGAGCAGAGATTGCATGTACATGCCTCTTTCTTCAGTAGTTGGTAAAAAGCAAGTCACCAGGACTGTTTGTTCAATGAGTCTGCCCTAGCTCAACACAATGACTTTTTTTTTTTAAAGCTTGGGAGACATTAGACCGATAAACCCAGTCCTTGAAATCCAGCTAGAAACAAAGATTAAAAAAAAAGTTTTCAAACAGGTAAACATAACTTTTAGATTATCAATTCACAGTTTGCATGAAAGTCTTTCATGTGTCGTAACCTGCGGCTAAAATCCTCTTATCCCAATCGCAGTTCAGTATTATCGGTTTGCAGGGTACAGTAAAATGCACGAGCCATGGGGTGAGTGGCGAGGGACCGTGACTTCTCATGCCCCTCAGGATCTGGATCTCGCTGCTTCGGTCCTCTCGAGGTGATTTGATCTGCTCCATAGAGCAACACTGCAGCACCCCATCTCTACCCTGTGGAAAGGCGAAGAGGAATGGAAAAGGAAGTGGTTCTCCCTGAGGGATGTGGGAAGGACGCTGCACAGGCACTTGGCATCTGCTCACAGTTTGTTGGGGAAAGTACATGGTCGCATCGATTTTCAAGAAGACTGGAAACTGCTGTCCGCCATGAAAGCAGGCATGTGCTTCACTGAGGCTCTGCAGGGGACCCTACTACTGAGAGGAAGGACAGTAGGAGCGTTCTGAGGCACGGTATTAGGTATTAGGAGTCTAGATGTAGTACTCCTTTTGTGGTGAAGGACTTGACACGCAGGGTAGACTCGGAGACTGCTATCTAGAAGTGCTTTGTGGGCTCTATCTCTGCCTTATGCTAACTTCTTTACTTTTCATGAAGGACATAGGGCTTTCAGAGATAAAATTTAGAAGCAAGGGAACATTCTAGGACTTTTCCAATTTAAACACACACACACACACACACACACACACACACACACACACACACACACAATTCGCCACCACCACCACCAAAACCCTAACCCTCTTAACCAGCCAGTATGGTAGTCTGTTATAGCAATAGAAAAAGAAAAAGCCACTCTCTGTAATATGTCTTGCTCCTCTTTTTTCACATCCCACCTGCCGACTTCTGCTGCCTTTATAATGCTGTTTCCTGAGGAGACAGAGTGATTCCTCTGGTTCTATTTCCAAATTCTCTTAATACCTTTGCATTTCTAGTACAAGCACAGAGATTTGGGTATCTGTGTGCTAATCTACTGAATTGTGACTTCCTTAAAGATTGAAACCATCACCCTACAACGGGGAACAATACCCCGGCTAGAAATCATATACTACAAAATAAAATGAGGAATGAGTTATCTCTTTTTGAGTTGGCAGCCAATGAAGTTCCATAGACTCTCAAAACATTACAGGATATTGCCAAAAAATTATTGGTTGCCCACTAGAACAGTAAGAACTTATTACTGAAGATATCATATGTCTATGTCATGGGACATTGAAAAATCTAGGTGATACTTGCTTGACAGGAAGCTCCAGTCTATTGGCAGGCACCCACTATCTTGGAAGGTGCTATATATGCAATGGGAGAAGACAAACAATCATCAGTATTACCCAGATATTAACTCTTTAAGGTAGAACAATGAACTACCTGGTAAGATATGTCCCCTGGTACAATAGTGGTATAAATGTTATGAGTGATCTTTGTTACTCTGTGAGGTTATTCCTGTAACAAACACCATCAACAAGAACCTGAGACTGGATAGATCATGGCCTACTGCTATTATTCTACTAAAGGAATATTGTAATAAAACAACTCTTCATGACATATTGCTATACGCGTAGATCAGTGAGTGCATCATTCAACCTTCATCAGAGGAACTTGTGGCAGTAGATAGCAATTAACATGGAGACACATCATTGATTGATATACAGATAATAAGAGACTTTGGAATTCTCAGTCTTAAATGGGAAGCCTATCATGTTCCTCTTGTTAAGGCTCAGCAATCGGTGTGGAAGAGGGAGGGGAAAGATTTTAAGAGCCAGTAGTGTCGGAGAACTTCAAAGAAACAATGTTTTCCAGAATCAACAGGGAAGATGCATATTTGAATTCACAAAGACTGTGTCAGCATGCATAAGACCTGCATAAGCAAAAGCCAGAATGAATCCCAGCAGGGAAGAGAAGAGGTAGGCACAAAGTCCCAACCCTAGGCACGGGTTTGATTGCTTCTGGTCTTTGATTGCTTCTGGGTGAAAGAATGTCCGTTTTCTTCAATAGAGTGATATTTGGTATATAGGTCACCCTCCACGGCAGGCCCCATGCCCTGGAGTAGTTGGTCTCTTGGCCAACACAGACTGGATTCTATGGGGGTTGTTTTGTTTGTTTGTTTTGAGACTGAGGACAAAACAAAGTTGGGTGGGTAAAAAGGAAGTGGAAAATCTGGGAAGAGTTTGGGAGGGAAATGAATATGATCAAATTATATTGTATGAAACTATAAAAGAACAAATTAAAAAAAGATTTAAACCACCATTTTCAAGTCTTTGCATCTTCAGTATCTGGATCAGTGCATGACTGGCACAGAGAATACATTCAGCTTGTTGACTTTGCTTTGGGAATCTGTCAGGCAAGGCCTCTCTCCCCCTTCACCTCTGTTCAAATACCATCTTCTCCAGCAAGTCTTATCTTCCTCCTTCAAGATCCCCAAATGCCTCCAAGTGTATCTACTACATCATTAAAACCACTGTCTCTTGCAGATGGTTTATCTGTATGTCTGTCTTCTCAGAACCTCCGAGGGACTCATGAAAGCAAACAGCTTTGGATTCCAATCGTCTGGATTCCACCAGCAAATAGTTCACGTGACCTTGAGCGTTTGAAATGACCTTTTAGAATCTCAGCATCTTCCTGATAAACTAAGATCCTACTGATGCTTCTAGCATTTTTGTGGGTTGATTATTTATAGCGCCTTATAATGCGTTGACACGATGCCAATCACAGTTCTAAACACCTAAGTGTTCCACTTGAGATTTAGAGACTGTAAGGTAGCTCCATGGAAACTGTGTTTCTAATTTTGATCATTTCCCAGGCATTCCAGATGTAGGACTCCTTGTGCTGGCTAGCAGCAGTAAATTGTTTCCCAATTACATACCATGAGAATAAACAACCGCTGCTCAGTAGTGTGCAGGCTGCTAAACTCTGATGTTTGGGAGGCTGGGTATAGTGAATGTATTTTCAACTGATACTATTTGTAATTCAAAATGGACTTTCAAGTTGTAAGCCACTTGTAAGTCAGAGCACCTGTAGTACCTCATATAACCTTAAAATAGTTTATAACTATTCCTCTCTAGACCTGTCTTTCTAAACTCTAGGTTAGGGCTGGAGCATGTGTCTTAATTCTTTGCCAGCAGGTTTGCCAATGGTGGTAACTGGGGAAGACTGAAGGCTGGAGAGGGCAGGCTTTCTTTACTCTGTTTTCTATTGGTCCCTCTGAGCTCAAGAGCCCAGCTATAGCCCATTAACTAGCGTCAGCTATCGGTCCCAGACTGCAGCCTCCTTCCTTACCAAATGTAGCCTCACCAAGCCATTGCACACTCTTGATCTTCAAAGCCAGCCTTTGATGGTTCCAGAAGATGCTTTAATTCTTCACTTTTAGCTTCTGTCTGTGGTTATTAGAGGTTTCCCTAGCCCTACCCACC